GGGGGGGGGGGGGGGGAGGGTTGGGGAGAGGGTGTTAGAAAATTTGTGAAATATTTGATAATATCTTTTTAATATCTTAGACTTAGACTATTTTAGAGTACCCTAGATGATCTGTTAGGATTTATTTTTTATTTTCAATTTTATGATTGTTTCCTTATTTAGTTAGAATCATTGTAATTATGGTCTATTGTGTTATATAATAGGGATATTATCTCCAATATTTATTTATAATTATTGCATTAAGTCGTATATAAAATGGATTTCTTTGTGTAGTCAAGACACAGTTTCAGCATCCCTTGTATCTGCTTTTCTCTATTTCAAAGAGAGGGAAAAATGGGAAAAGGGAAAGAAATATTACTATTAGCAATTATGAAAGGGTAAAATCAGGAAAATCTATAACAACGGGCATGAGCAATCCATACAAGTTAACTTCCATCACTTTCAACTCAAAACCTTAAGGCATTAAGTATATGTCCCCTTGCCACTTATATGTCGCTCAACATATTCATCTCTATCAAATATGAGACTTGCTACTCACACTTGCTCTATCTCTCTTCTCATGAGTTAATCTTCTTTCGTATGATATGCTCCCCCTCAAGTAGAAGTATTTCCATCCATGAGTATTCTATGGTGGAATTCCCATACATAGATCCACCAATTTCGTTATGCTTCAATACTCGTCTGAGTTTGTCACCGAGTCACACTAGGCTTTGATACCTCTTGATATACAATGTGAAGAGAGTAAAGCATATGGGAGATCTTCAACAATGGGTCATGAGCAAATCTCACAAGTCAGCTTGACAGCACATTCAACCAAAATGGATCCTTGCCACTTATATGTTGTTCAACATGTCCATCTTTATCCAAATTTAAGCGATGAACTAACAATGTGATGAATCTGAAAGCATAATGAACATTGGGGAATAAAGTAATACCTATATTTGTTCAACTCCTCAAAGAGCCTAATGCATTGATCTTTGTTGAGATATCCAACTTTCTGCAATCAGGAAACAATCTCAAACAACTTTAGAATCAATAGAAACAAGTTGCTAGTCTCAAAAGAAACCCATGTCAAAGAATAAGAATCAAGAAATATAGTCATAATTTCATAACAAAATAAGACCAAAATAAAAACAATTACATTATTTTGAAAGAGAAAAATAGATCCAAGAGAAGCTGAAATTGTGTGCCTAAACTTACAAAACCAACTTGTAAAATGAGTGTTGATTATGACTCAAAATCTAATGTATCATCTGTATGCTCTATAAAGTCTTTTGTATGTACAGTCTTATAGATTTAGTTTGTCTCCATTGGTTTGATGGATTCAAATAATGCATAGTATGTCTTCATTAATCTAATGGATTCAGTTTATCCTGTTTTATAAGACTTAGTTTTAGTTTTAGTTCCTTTCAAAAAGCAACATAGAGAGAAAGTGTGAAAGTAAAGTGCTATGTGTGAGCACGAAGAGCTAGGAAGAAGATACGTAGAGAGGAAATGAGAACCAATTAGAGAGATCAAGGGGTTTTTGAGAAGAGCAAGAAGTTGCTCTATTCTAAATACTTGATCTTGCTTTTAGACAGTGGAATTTGCTCTATTGCGTTTTATTTGTGTTTATGTTTTACTTTCTTGTTGGGTTTTCTTGTTTCTACTTTTTTTGTTTGTTCTTGCATATGGTCTGTTCTTGTTTGTTTTCTTTCTTGTTTTAGAACCAACAATGACAATTTCCCACTAGTTATATACCTTTTGTTGGCATTATCTCTAGTTGATGCGGGACTTGAATTTTTTTTCAATAGACTCCCTTATGCCCAACACTATTGACTTGGTGTGTGAATAAATGATAGGTAACTCTTTTCTGAAAGACTCAATGAAGACAAACAATGAATACAAAATATTATTTTTATGTAAATTGTTTAAGAGTCTTGAATTATGTAAGATGGAACAATCCTAACTTTATTTAGCTCATTAGGGTAACTAGGAAAAGCTTAAAATCAACCTAATAGTAAAACTAAGTGGCTTAAAATGAAAAATGGCATTACAAGGAACTATTCCCACAAAGTGTAATTAAATTACAAGTGAAAAAATTTATTTTTGAACAAAGGTTTTTATGAGAGAGTCGATTCCCTTAGAAAGGAATCTATTTTCATGAGCTAAAAATCTTCTTTTACAAAATCTTTAACTTAAATATTTTCAAAATTAAAAGATATATTTGATATGTCTAGGAAGTGAGTTATAGGCCTAACTCAACCCTACAAAATTGGCTTGTATGAAGAGGGTTGCTCCTTACTTATAAAGTCTTTGTTTGTCTTATCTCTGATCAATGTGAGACTTGGATTTTTCTCAATACATCCCCTTAAATCCAACATTATTGGGTTTGGTGTCATCTAGGAAGTGGGTTATGGGCCTAACTCAATCCTACAAAATTGACTTGTAAGGTGAGAATTCTCCTGTACTATTAAAGTTTTTGTTTGCCTTATCTCTACTCGATGTAAGACTTGAGTTTTTCTCAATAATATGATTGACAAAATAAAAGATATAATTGATATTGTTAATAAAAATAAGAGATATAATTTAATTTAATAAGGGAATAATTTTATCTCTAAGATACATTATATTTTTTTTTGTTTTAAAATCTATATATAAGAAAATAGCTTTTCCAGGGAATTAACAAGTGGACACAGACTGAGAAAATTAATAAATAGAATTAGGAAAAAGGGTAAGTCCAATAAGCTAAAGTTTGTGAGGATTGAAAGTCAAACACTAAGCTTCAATTTGTGTAATCTCTACTTTCTAGAGTAGTGACAGTGATTTTTCTTTGACTTTTTGTTTAGGAAATCCAAGGGTGGGTTCCCTTGATGGTTCTAAGTGTTAATAGTCACTCAGATTTGCAAGGAAGTTTTATTTGTGGTACCCTAGGGGAAGTGTCGCTAGTGGGAGATTAGAGTGAAAAGGTGAGGAGTGTCTCGGCTTAGATTGTCAAAGAGGGTTTCTGGAGTATAAAAGATTTGCGGCACTGTATACTTGAATCTGTTAGTGAAAAAATCTCAAGCGTTGCTTAAAGACCAGACATGTCTTAGTTTGAACTTTGAACCAAACATGTATAAATCACTCTTTATTATTGTTTAAATTGTTTTTATATATTAATTTGAATTGATCCTTTCTCTGATTATTTTATTCAAATTAATTAAAAACCCTCTCCTCATCTCCTTCAACATTATATTCTTCACAATTAAAAAAATTAAAGAGTACAGTTTATTATTATTATTTATAATTCAATTCACCCTATCTTGAGTAATTAAGGCCACTTGGTTAACACAATGGCTAATAAATTATAACTTCCAACATAATTAACATGCCAAAAATTATCAATACTAAGAAGGCTAACATGGAAGCAGCCTTCTAACTTTCAAGCAATGTTTAAAAGATTTATATCCTAATATACATTGAGAAGTTGTATATACCTTCATAGAAAGACAAAGTTTCTAAGTCTTCTCTTTTATTAGCTATTACAGATAAGAAATAACACTTTTGCACTATTATGAGCTCACTTCCAAACTTTCTAAAGTTCAAGTGAATTTCTCATTATGCCATCAATTTCCATTATTATTCTCATCAGAGGTCATAATTTTCAATCTTTTCTCAGCTAATTTTTTTAACCTCCTAGAGACATTTCTTGGATATTCCCTATACTATACTAGTACTTATACACAATATGTTCCTCCTCAATAGAAAGATTAGAACATCATGTTGTTCTAATTAAAGATAAAGGTCAATCTTAATCAAGGTTATCAATAGCAGATAACGGTCTATGGCAGCGAGGCTGAAAATCCTTTATAACTCTACGGCGGATGCCATAGCAACCTATGGCGGACTATATATATATATATATATATAAAACAACAAAATAAATAATAAGCAACATAATATCAACTTAAATACTTAAATATCATAACAACAATACCATAATTCATTAAGTTTCATAACATAATTGATTAAAACACAACAAAAAACATAGAAAAATGAGTACAAGAAGCATGTTGCTAATCTAATCATCCTCCTCCTCATCATCATCATTCTCCTCCTCTTCCTCAATGTAATCATTCTCTTCATTGAATGCCAAAGGGGCATAGCCTTCAACTTCTTCACCTTCTGAATTGTCAAAGTTAATATTTGGCAATTCTTCTTCTAATTCCTCACTAATATCTTCTAAATCTTCTTCAACGACTTCAGCCACTTTTCCTTTTCCTTTCCTAGTTAAAGAAGACACTCCTTTGCCTTTTTTAGAAACTTTTTGAGATGATGCTCCTTCTGCACTTGGAGGTTGCTTCCTTTTGTTACGCGTAGTATACATTAGAGGCTCTCCAACCCCTGAAACATCATAAACTTGATTGCAAGTAAGTGGATCATTTCCACCAAAACTAGCCCAATGTCCCTTTTGAATCTTCATCAATTTTTCAGTATACTCCATCTCTTTTTGGAGAAGTGGAACTCTTATCTCATGATAAGATGGAGGTCGCAAATGCGGTCCAAAAGACCCAATAGCTGCAACCATGTCATGAAAGCTCTCCAATTTGATCATATTAAAAGATAGTCCAGCTTGATACCAAAACCGGGCTATATATTGGTGGACCCTTGCTGTAGCTTCCTTGTCACAACTCTCCCTTATACTTATTTGCTTCAATTTCTCCTTCTTGTTTTTTGCAATTGCTGTTTCCGGACGTTTACAGAAAAGGTCAATAGGCCCCTTTTTCATAGCAACCTTCTTCCTCTCATTGGCCCCAAGTGTCTCAACTTCTAATTCTCCTAAATCTCCCTCCAATGTATAATCTTCACTACCAAGAGTCACATCTTCCATTACTCTTTGGCATGACTCACTTTCTTTCATCTTCTTATTTTTCTCAAGTGTCCACAACTCATCTTTAACCTCTTGTGGAACACTTTGACAAGGTGCAACATTTCCCTTCTTTCCCATTAAATGTTGCTTTGCTCTTGTAATTCCTCCTTTCATGATTTTTTTACAATAATTGCAAACATTTTCATTGGTATCATTCTTTTTGGTAGGATGACAATGTTTCCATCCTATGTCTGTTCTCTTAACAGAGTTTGAGGATGTTTGACTTTGGCTTGGAATTGGATTGCTAGACATTGTCCTAAAAATAAGAAAAAGAACAATAATAAAATAGGCACTCAATGTTAGTTTAGAATTTAGAAGAAAATAAGAATTTAAATTGACCCAATTGGTAAAAGAATTGGAATTAAAAAAATTGTTGCAGATGCAACGATGAATTCATTAAGAAAGGACTCAAAGCATTAGGAAAAATTAAAAGGAGGATTAAAACTAGGGAAAAAAAAAAGGAGGATTAAAACTGAAAAAATAAAAGGAGGAGGAGGATTAAAACTGAAAAAATAAAAGGAGAAGGAAGATTAAAACAGAAGAAAAAAAACCTAGTTTGGCTATGTCGCCGGAGTAGTTCGCCGGAGTACTGGGCCACCACGGTTCAGGTAGCCGGCCAGAAAGGGGACGAAGGGACGGTGAACGGAGGTGATTAGGGGCGATTTCGACTTCCGTAAGTGCTGTTCGCACTTCGTGGTTGCTGGCCAGAGTATTGGGCCACCGCGGTTCAGGTGGTCGGTGGAAAAAGTGACGGGTGAGCAGTGATTGGAGTTGAACAAAGGTGACCGGAGAGGTTTAGGGCAGATTCTGCGTGAGCTCCTCTTCAAGTGCAGAACGTCGCGACTGTGAGGGAGAAGAGAGACGAGACGAGCCAAAAACATAGGGCTCACTCCATTTGGGTCTGTTTCGAAGCCCAAAAATAGGTTTTTTTTAAAAAAAATCCGTCATGACCGCCATGCCCGTCATAAAGCTTCACGGCACCATGACCATGGCGGGCGCCATATCGGAAATGGCGGAAACCGCCATAAACCTTCATAAAACGGATGGCCAATGGCGGTTCAGGTTCAACCGCGACGTTTTTCCGTTATATAACCGATATTTGACAACATTGATCTTAATTTCATAAATATAATTTATGCTCCCATGAATTTCTTTATATATATATATATTGTCTTCTCCTTAAGTATATATTATATGCTCCCATATACAAAGAAGGCCATGATAGGCACTAGTTAAAAGAGTAGATTACAAGGTTCTTAGTCATGTGAAAAGGAAGAGAGGGAGACCAAGAAGGACTTCAGAGGAAGTTGTCAAAGGCTTTCTCATGGTAAATAATATTCCTAAAGTTTTGGTTTTTAATCGCTCTGAATGATATCATGCGCTCCATGTAGCTTACCTCATCTATTGGGATAATGCTTGTTGGTATCTTCTCTTTTTCTTTTTTCTTTTTTTAACTTCTTTGGTGTCTTCTTTTCTAACATAAATGGAGTAAAAACAATTCTTTTACCAGATATCAACGAATACCAAAGCAAAACCCACTAGAAGAAAGAAAGGGAAATAAAGAGTTTTCCTGTTCATAAGCTATCACTAATCACATTTCAAAATCATTGAAAAAATAAAACAGTTGTTTGAAATCATCAGGTAGCTATGTCTGACAATGGAACAGTAAACTAAAACATGGAAAATCACACTTACATGTGTATCTAAGAGATAAAAAGCTTTCTCCAACATGGTTCTTCTCATACGATCCATCTCAAAAACTTGTTTTACAAGCTACAGCAAGAAATATTTGAGCATTGTTATCATCTGTTTGAATATTCATCCTAGAGTAGATATACATCAATTCTCCTAATATATTCTAGGTTGGGTAGCTAAATAGGAAAAAGATCAACACTGATCCAGTGCTTCGAAGTTTCAACTTTAACATCAGATATATATAAAGAGAAGTAATTGTATGAAAAGATTTACCTCATTCTTGAAACTGTCATAAACAACAGCAAGGATCAAGTTTGTAACAAAGTACACCCCCACTAGCACAAAGAGTACGAAAAACAGGCAATACCATCGGGAAGACCTTAAAAGCCAAAATAAAGTCATGGGCATTGATGGTTGATTATATCTCAAATTGAAAGGACAAAAGTCATTTAGCCAGGCAGATTCAAACTCTTACTTGTATGCAGGAACCCAAACATCTGGATTATTGGATGTGGTAAATAAAAGAAACAGCTGATAAAATGTAGTACCATAGGAAGTGAATACTGTTTTCCCCTGTATTGTATCCTCAAAAAACACATACGCCACCCAACTAGAAAAAAGAAGAAATAGAAGCCACAAAGCCTGCAGTGCATAAGAATTGGACGGCACACTGTCCAGTAAGAGTGTTGATTATAACAAATTAAAATAATCAAATGTAGCATTCAACTGAAACTAAATAGATTTTGAATGTAAAATGACATACACGTTGTTTTAAGAGTTACAAACAGAAACAGCAAAGAGTAAGGCCAAGGAGAAATAACATAAAGTAAACTAACCAAGATATTTAAGTATGTATCAAGCATCCCGGCCAAGATAACGATAGTTTCTCGTAGCTCCCTGACATCAAATTCAAATGCAGAATTTAACAATAAAAAATGTTATACTGCATTTGCCTTTGGCTGAATAATGAACATACAAGAATTTCACATTGCAAGACATGTTAACCATGGCAAGTAACTCATGAAGCCATAAATTATTAAACATTAGTGTTGAGAAGAGAACCAAATTAACCTAAAGCTTAACCTACCACCTCACATGAGATGATGAAAGCCCTAAAGGACTGGAGCATGTACAAAGCACAAGACAAACACAATTTGTCCTAAAATTATAGTTTAAATAATAAAAGAGACAAGGATCAAACTCTTGACCACTTGGTCTCTACAAAACAGCTTAGTTTTGGAGTTGTTCATGTAAAAAATGTCCCTCCATTTTAGAAAATAAATTAAGTAACAAAAATCATTTAAACTTTGATATCAGAAAAAATTTGAATTTCTTAGAAGTTTCGTTTTCATATCATTTCATACAATAAGTCTTTATCTCCAGTGTTGATAAAAACACTGAACTGACTCACCCACATGAAAAAATTATAAAATTTGTTCAATTCCATAACAGATAGAGTACATAAACAACAGTTTTATATGTTTGATAAGCCAAAAGGATGTTCAATTCCATAAACAACAGTACATTGTTTCCGGTCAACACCCACGAGGTGGAAGTGCACATTTAATTATTAACATAACAGATAGAGTACATGAAAGATATAATGTATAGCACTCAATGCTATCTCTATCCCTTTCAATTATCTTCCAGTCCTGTTCTATACAAATAATAATAACTAGGATTTGTAAATTTGAAGCAGTACAGCAACAATTATTAAAATTTTCAAGCACAGGTCCAAAAGATATAATATGCAACAGAATATTCATTCCAAAGGAATACAAAAAGTTGAGAGAGGCCAGACAATACCTAATATTCATAATGAAAAGAACAACCCTGATATAAGGTGCAATTCTGAAAGGTAGAAAATCAAAAGCCAGTGGAGACAAATAAAGGGCATAGACCAGCATATCAGCGACAAGAACTAGTAGAAAGAAAACCTGGAAGTACCAAAAGGTTAATTTTTAGTAATAGTATATATGTAAAAATGGATTTCAAATTCAGGATATATGAAAATGATGTGGTTTTTCCCTTCATAGTGCAAGATAGCACCCATTTACTCCAGCTTAATTATATGATGAATGCTCACATATAAAATCAAGATTCAATGGGGAAAAAAAAAAGTGTATCATAACACAAACAGAGGAATGAAGCATGCATTTCAGCATATCAGTCGCTTCTGTTAGCTTTTGATTGGAACAGGTTAGGTGTTGAGCAACCCTACCTTCCAAAGGTCAAGTCCATTATTCACAAGTTGGCCCTCAAAAGTAACATTATTGACATTTAGAGCTGATATAGCTTTGTTGTCTCGTACCAAATTTTATTCTTTAGTAGGATCTTAAAGCAACATACCTTCAATTGATTAATGATATTTTTCCAATATATACGGGATCCTTCATATGCCAATGGGAAGAACGTATGTGCGATTAGCAAAACAACAGTTATTCCCTGTATTACACAGAAAAAGCTCACGTAAGACAAAATACTGTGCACATAGTTGAAAAAGAAATTAATACAAGGATACTTTAACAACCCCACAGATCAACTGGTATCCCCATGCCATTCCATAGGGTATAAGACTCGCATTTTTTAATAAACGATGAAAAACCTATTAGAAAGGAAAGATAAAAAGAAGAAAAACCCTCAGAAGGGAAAAAATGACACCTCGAGCCAAATTGGCTAAAAATGTGAAAAGGTTTTTGCAAGTCACTAACAAATCCCATTGAAATAACTACTACCAAAGCACTAAGGAAAAAAGAAACTCCTAGCAGATATTCATAAATAACGAAAGAAAAACATCAAAGCAACAAAGTGGAAGGATGATTTCAAGCCTACACTTGCTTTATCTCTCTAAAATGCTTGCTTAACAATTACAGATACCGGAATATCTTAAATGAGACATTCATTAAATAAGTTAATGACATACATAGGTAGTATTGGCTGTTTCATTTCATTTACAAAATGGAGCCAAATAAATAACTTAATTTCAACATGAGAATGACAAATATCACCAAAGGTAATCACCATTTTCAAAGATAAATAACTAATAATTTACCCAATAAAAAAATAATAGCCTCTGAACTACTGAACTCTTACCTCATAAATAAGACATTCTGCATCAGTCAGATACGGCAATTGTCCCAAAAAGAAATACTCTCTATCATTGCAAGAATTTGTGGTAAGCTTTTTACACCATACAGGTTTCTGTACCAAGTAAAGTACATTATAAAATATCATCTTTCTATTTTATTTTTCATTTTCTTTAGCCTGAAACTCAATTAACAGGAACTAAAGGAGCTTGCCACTACTAACCTCCAGGAAATTCAGGACTATCAAAGCAAAATAACTGAGAGACCAGATGAGATTGCATTTGGTGAATATAAAATAAAATCTTGCATAACTTTGGAAGTTTGATGAATCAAGAATTTGCTCAGGGATACCAACACCGTCTTCAGCCTGCATAAAGCATTTCCAAACAGTATAACAAGTAGTTAACGGAACCGAAAAAAGTACATAAATAAATAAATATTAAATATATATATATATATA